CGACCTGAAATTACAGCGAGCATCTGCATCGCTCCTGTCTGACTTCGAGAGGCTGCTACCGCGACTACTGCGGAAACGGCAGCATGGCTCTGCCCTTGGTCCCGTCCGCCAACATGTCCGAACAGCAGACATGTACAAGGCATGCAGCTTGGTATGAACCCTATCAATCAATGTTCTCAATGGCTGTCTGACCTTTTACAGATAGAGCCATTCCAGGAAGACCCCCAGATTCTAGACACCCACCTCAAAACCTTCATACCTCCACTCGTCGCCGCCTATCTAGAAGCAATATCGGCGAGCGCCACAGAAGAACCAAAACCAGGATTTGTGACTCTTGCATACGCCATATGCTCCGTCTTGAATACGTTCTGTAAAGTCCGAGGCGAAAAGGTCGTCAAAGGCTTCTTCAATAACGAACCACGTCATCTCGAAGCGATCTTGGGCGAGTTAGAAGCGACTGGGGTTGTTAGATCTGAAAATACCAATGCCCTACTGCAGGACACAGCTCGTCCCTGGATAGAGCGCTATGTGCTGCTCTTATGGCTCTCACAGTTACTACTCGCGCCCTTTCCCCTGGAGTCTATGTCTGGGTTGCAAGTTTCTGCAGAAACACCTGTAGCTCTTGGGCTGAAGCTCCCGGATGAACTTCCAGGTGTCACTCTTCGGGTAATTTCTCTGTGCATGTCGGGGCTTCAATCCCCAACAAAGGAAAGAAGCGCCGCTGCAAGTCTCCTAGTGAGGACATGCGTGCGACCAGATATGCAAAAGCTAGGTTTACTGGATGCCATGGTCCAATGGTCCTTGTCTTTCTTCACAGACATATCCGAAGAGAAGACCGACATACATCAGTGTCTCGGAGTTCTCTCATTCTTGTCAGGGCTATTGGCCTCCGCTACGAATGAGGAGCTTGGCCCTTTCCTTGCTGCCATATACCTATCCTGTAGGAAGATTTTGGATCAGGAGAGTCTCGCCTTTGTCAAGTCATCAGCTGTGGCCCGAAAGCTGGTTGTGAAAAGCTTGCGCAATGTCGTTTTGCATTGCCTACAAGCGACGTCAACCCTTCCTGGACTCGATTCAACCGTGGTATTGGAAGAAGTCATCGAATTTCTCCTTGAAGCACTCGCGGATGGTGACACGCCAGTCAGATACGGTGCTAGCAAGGCGCTCAGCATCATCACTCTCAAATTGGACGCGGAGATGGCCAGCGAGGTTGTCGAAGCAATACTTGGCTCGCTCACAGAGAACATCTACTGGCAGGGGTCCAAGCGCAATTTGAACAGCGTGAACCCACTCCGATGGCACGGTTTGACTTTGACGCTGGCTCAGCTTCTCTATCGGAAAGCAATCTCTACCGGTCATTTGGCGGACGTTCTCAACGCTCTCCTACTTTCCCTCGGCTTTGAGCAACGGTCGCCTACTGGAGGGTCCATTGGTACGAACGTACGCGATGCAGCTTGCTTCGGTATTTGGGCGCTCTCTCGCCGCTACCCCACCACTGACCTCCTTGCGGTCGAAACCGCGACAATAAGGGCTTCCGAGCACCTCAGATCATTACACGTCCCTCAAGTGCTGGCAATCGAATTGGTAGTTGCTGCTTGTCTCGATCCAGCAGGCAACATCAGAAGAGGCTCATCTGCTGCGCTTCAAGAACTTATAGGTCGCCACCCCAATACAATAGAAGAGGGCATACCGCTCGTACAGATAGTCGACTTCCACGCTGTCGGGCTCCGCCAGCGCGCAATGTGCGACGTGGCGATCAAGGCTGGAGAATTACAGTCTCTGTACTGGAAGGCCCTGTTCGGTGGTCTCTTAGATTGGAGAGGAACCGGCTCGTTGGATTCAGACTCACGTCTGTTTGCAGCTGAGGCCATCGGGTCTCTTTCTAAGGCTCGATCGCCTGCGGTAGTGCAGAAGATGTCTGATCAGGTCCGCGGCAAGCTTGCGGCGTTGCGTCCTCGCGAGGTGGAAGAGCGTCAAGGGTTGGTGACTGCCCTTGCGACCCTCGTTGACACGACAGTAGCTATGCATGTGGAACAAGCGCCCGAAAACCCATATGCGTCCTTGATGGCTCTTTGGACTTTATTCTCAAAAGAACTAGAGCTTGAAGACAAGGCATTCACTTCGCCGGCATTGCGACCCCAGTTCACCGCATCATCAGTTTGTGCAATTATCGGAGCAATCTCGAGACTCACCAATGGGACTCTCAGCAAGCTTTGGCCTTCAAACGTACCCGTGGCACAGGTTTGTAATTTATTGGACCTTTGTCTCGCGCGTCATGAGGAATCAGTCCTCGATGCTATTGCTACCGCAGTTCCTGCAGTAGTCTCATTATTACCTAGATTACCGGGGTCTGACACATTTGGCGTCGTGATGTCATGGCTGCTGCGTTTGGAAAATGAAGCATCGTACAATGGGTCGCGATGTTCCGGGCATGCGATCGCCCTGGGAGCTGCGCATGGCAGCTTGGACAGCCTGGCATCCGATACTGAAAGGGATGTCCTTCAGCGGCGGATCGTAAAGGTACTTACTTTCAGGTGCACATCAGCTGTGGCAATCGAGGCCCGAACGGTGGCATTACGTGCTCTGCGTTGTTTGCTTGGAAGCAAGAACCCTAAATCAACTCAGCTTGCTGCCGATGTAGAAGACCAGATCGCGAGCGCCTTGCACATTGCACTTAACGACTACACCATTACAGAACGGGGAGATGTCGGGTCACTCGTCCGACTCGAGGCCTTGAATACCGTGCGCTTGGCTTGGGCAAATGGAATACTCACCGAGAAACGCAATGAACGCGAGTACGATATCTACGCCGACATCGTTCGGCTATCTCTCGAAAAGCTTGATAAGATGCGCATGAACGCCGCTCAAGTCCTCCAGCTGAGAGAAGCCGGCGGCGCAACCACAGACGAGGTCTCCTCTCGGACTTACTTCCTGAACGCACTAATGTCGTTACAAACAGCGAAAACCCCCGCGATCAGAGAAGCTATCTGTGTTGGTTTTGTCAGCTCCGCGGGGATGGGCTCCGAATCCGTGGTTCAGAACTCACGAGCAGCTTTGCTAGACTTTGTCGATATGCTACAAGACGGAGATACATCCGACGTTACGCAGTTTGCCTTGGTTGACTTTGCAAACTGCGTCCTGACACTCCTGAAGAACAACATCACCAACGATAGAGTTTTGCTCCCGCTACTAGAGGTCATCGCCTTCTTGTTCGACATGCAGATCATGCAGCGTCTTCAGTCGACGTCTTTCAAGTAAGGGCTCTCTTTTGGTGTTCCATATGCGCATGCGTTAATCGTGTCAGTTTCCGATCACTTCTTTCATATACGCAAAAAGCACACTTCAAGTCCACGCATATGCAAAAGCTTCACCTCGCGCTGGATGTGTATCGGGGCTTAGGTGTCATCCCAATGACCAGGAGCGATACGCTAGCCAAAGCTGTGAGCATGCTGTTACATCCGTTCCCGAAGGTATGCATAAGACAATCTATTGCCGCTGGCTCACGTTAATGAGGTCTAGGTACGCATCACAACAGCGGAGACTCTCTGGTACTTGACTCACGAAGGAGGGTTGAAGCGTCACGACTGGACATTACCATCGAAGAGTCTGAAGCCAGCCGTAGATGAGATCAAGACATGCTTCGCGACAACAGCGGCTCAACCGCCATGCTGAGTACATGTTACCTGCGATTAACTTACGATTCTTGGTCTTTAACGCAATTTCTATGCCTTCCATCTTGTATTTTTTTGGTCCATTACTCAAGCAATATGAGGCTTCTGCCCAAGCTGGAACGTCTTATGTCCTTGATTGCCCCTTACGCGGAGTACGATAATCGCCCCTGTCTTCCAGCTGTGACGAGTGGCGCGAATGACCATGAGCATTTAACCATTGGCCTATCAAATTCTGGTGCTATACCCTGCAATTCTCATGTACTGTAGAGGCGTTGCAGGGCGCTATACCCTGCTGCGAAGGTGGGGGCTGGGGGCCGCTTAGTGTTCGGTGGCACAGATGGACGGGCGCTTGTGTCAACGCGCATTCCCTCCTCTACCACCATCCTGAGTCTACCTACGCCTCTGACTCCAATCCTGACACCGAAAGTTATTTTTCATCCACAACAAGCCGATACCATGGCTCAAGACGCAGATGGTTTGAGCTACAGCCCAGACGATGATGAAAAGATCATCAAAATCAGGCTGAACAATGACGGATTGGACCAAAGCGTTCTGGCCGCAAGAAGAGCAACGACACGTTTTCAGGCGGCCTCGATGCATAATCAGCACAAATTCGCTGTCGCGGCATCAATGGTCTACCCGCCAGCTGATGGAGGAGCTCAGCGGCTTCGGATCATCACTAGGTCAGAACGGGATACCATTAGGACGAAGAATGCGACACCTGAGCGCTGGCTGTGAGTCAATTCTTCCAATCCTTGGCACTTACTGACGATATGCAGACACATTCAGACTGATTGTATAAGCTTCGAGGCGTTTGAGGTACAAGTTCTACCCCAAGATTACTGATGCCAATCTAATAATTATAAAAGAGCGCCACGCTCAACTTTGTGCTCGACTATGACGAAGACGCTACTCCGGTCGTGGGATATCTTTTGAGGCACATAAAAGATGAATTCGAAGAGCAAACCCCACACGGCAGCTATATACGATCGGACACTGTTTTGCGATGCGACGGAATCGATCATGCACGAGCCGATAAACCTGACGTATCTGCTATCTTTGTTTCTTTCCCGTACTTTGATATCAGTGCGCTCAATCCCTCTCGTGCACCAAAAGATACATCACTACACGAAACCCGGTAAGTGTATAACTCTCATTGGCTGTATATGCGAAATGATGCACTGACATGATGCCGGATGGTGTGATAGAGGATTGTTCCAGTATAGATACCCGCAAGAAGGCGCGCAGGGTCGGGATGACGAACAAGTGTTTCGAAAATTTAAGCATGTGAGAAAGGGAGACTGTCTCCGAGTTCCTCAATTCTGGTCTATGGTCGTACATTCCCACCTGATTATCACCTGCGGACCAAGTGCTCTCCAGGAGCTCTTCGAAGAGGGTGTCGAGTTCATCTCTGAGAACTATCTTGTTGCAGACGGACCCAGTCTGGTTCATGTTACCGATTTTTACGGACAAGTCGCATACCTCCCACTCAAGCTATGCTCAACATACGTCGCACTTTGTCGTAATATCGAGAGTAAGTGTCTCGATGGCAGCGAGAGAGATAATAAAGACTATGTCATACATTTTGGGTCAGACGAAGCAGCATTGGAGGCAGATCAATGGCCACACGTCATGAAATGCGAACGATCTGCAATGATTGTTCTGCGCCTCAGCCGGAAATTTACGAGCCGGGGTATCTCTTCGATCGATCGTTTGCGTAGTGAACCAAGAACGATTGAGTACGGTGATCTGCGCTCTGAGTGTGACTCCACAGACGATAACGAGACTCAGGCGCTTATCGTAAGGCGACCTCTGTAAGCGACTATCGACCGGACAGATTCATTCGTGGCCTAGTGCTGATTTATATATAGCAATGATGCCGAGCAAGGTCACCAAGCCGAGTACGTTGTCGGACCCAGTGAGAGTTTAGCAAGGCAAGGTTACATGGTGAATGACCCCAGCTTACTCATGGGTCGCAGCAATAGTATTGTTGGTCCGAAGCCGGTCATTTTCCGCCGTCCAAAACGTATGATTAGGCCGCCTTTCGCATATGACGGCCATCATGTCGCCAGGGCCATTACATATGAGAGCGAAAACGCTGTTCATATTAGCAGGAGTTTGGATGGGTCGGTTGTTGCCAGCAACAAAACTTCTCATGAAGCTCCATCGTTCGCGGAGGGAGTCGGCAATGCGTCATCGAATGATGATCCAGTCGAATCGTCCCACAGTCCAAAGGGATCTTCTGTACCAAACAGCATTGACGTAGTAGACAACGAAAAGCTTCCCGGCCCTTTCGAACTTACGTCTGATGTCTACGATACGCGGGAATACACAAAGAAAGATGCTCAGAGTTTGTTGTCGTTATCATCTCACTCAGTTTACGAGCGAGACCATGTCGAGTCTGGAGAGCAAGAGGCGACATTAGGAGCGCTACGAGATGTGATATCAGACGATGAAGATGGCGTGAGACCCGGAATAAAAGCCACCACTGTCGTTCCGCAAGGCCGAACAGAGTCGTCCGTTGCCACACAAGATGTGTCAAAACCATTGAAAGAAGGCATAAAGGACGAGGAGCTCATTGGCTCAGATCTACAGCTACAGGATGATCTGAAAATGACACAAGAAGAAGAGAGCCGTCTCAAAGCCGAAGGGAGCAATGGAGACCAAAGAACTCTCGTGGGATTACAGGTCAAAGATCTTAAAGGACTGATAAGCGAAGAAGTTGCTGCTGCATTAAAACAAAACACTGACCAGGTCAACCGCGATGTTCAGAAGCAACTGGAACCTGAGCTTCGTGGCCGACTCGCCAAAGCTGGCTTCCTTCCAGACCTTATTGAAGCTATCGTCAAACAAGGGGATGAGACAACAACAGAAGGGGAAGACAAACCCCTATCTAACTATACAAGAGTACCTACGAGTCAGCTCGACGAGGCCACTTTGTTTCATTTCAATGTCCGATTCAAGCATGACATACTCGATCCCAACTTCTGGATCATCTTCCCACATATGACAAGAGATGAGTTAGTGCCCATGTTTGATCACACACGCGAACGTCATCTGAACGCACATTCCGAAAGGGAGCGGGAAGAGCGATCGCGTGATCAAACACAAGAACGGCAAGAACAACGTCCGCCCGTGGATACTGTTCGATCTGACCGTGTAAGCACTTGCTGATCGAAACACTTAGCTGTGTCAGCGCTGACTGCGACAGAATAGTGGAGCTTCACGTAAAAGCTCGGGGGGCAAAGATCGCACAGCCAAGACGTATCGAACACGAGAGGTTTCTCCAAGTCCCAAATTTACAAGACTTAATACTGGTCTTCGTGTTCCACCGTTTCTTGCCTGGCAAACAACAGAAGACGCAGCAGAGCAGAATAACGATGAGAGTATCCACATACAGCTTACACTCTTTGCTATTGAACAGGAGCTGACCAGGACGCGAACGGATGTAGCAAGATTACCAATCGACTCTGCGCATTCATTCGTACACTTGTATCAATCAGGTGCACCCTTCACCGATGTCGAAGAGTCCTCCTTAGAAGATGTCTCGGCATCACTAGTGTCCTGTTACGAGGCCTCTACCAGAGTCGTTAAAGGTACCACCGATTGCAACGAGCTAACTGTAATGGACGACACAAATGGCCTCATCCAGGTACTTGTTTCGGGCACCGGCATTACCAACAGCGACATCTCAGGTGATGTTCGAATCGATTCAGAAGGCGAGACTTATGTCACTTCGAGAAGGGTCACACAATGGCAGACAGCTCTGATGTACAAACACACACAACGCATCTTTCAATCTACTATGGAGGTTATGGACCAGTTTGTACCGAAATACTACGACCATCAGCTCTTGCGCAGATGCTGGGGTGCGCTCAGGTACATCATCAAGGTAATTAATCTTTCTAAACGCGTTAGAGAGCCGTACACTTTGGAATGCTACTTACACAATCTCCGCAGATCGTTGCCTTCATGAGCATCAGAAACTCTATGTTACAAGATCGGGAGAAGTTGGGATTAGCATCGACTTACGCAATCCGTGAACTTCCCCACAAAGAATATGCGAAGCTACACAAAATTTCTGTCCTGCCTTCTCCCATAGGTCAGTGTGACATTTGTGAGCGGGCGAGGTATTATTCGAATGCGGATGAAGCTTTCGAACATCTGCGACGCGACCACACCAGCAAAGCGGATCAACCTTCACATTATTCCCGGACACAGCTATCTCATTGGGTTATGTCGTCTCAACTGGCTAATGTGGAGGAGAAAAATGATCTCTTCGTCGAGTATCTCAGTGCCATGGCACTGCGTATTGAGGCGTTGCGCTCTAAAGCAATTGATATTCGCAACAGTGTCGCAAATGAGAGAGACGAAAAGCCGAGCGAATACCTCCTAACGCTGTCGCTTGTGAAAGCAGCAGAGAAGATTCTCCAGACGATCGATACTTGCGGGTATAGTGTCCGAGAACTGCACAACCTCGACAAAGCCGATACGATGCCTTCTATATCACGGAACGAACTGAAAACTCATATGAATCTGCTTTCCTACTTTGGCTCAGCAGCTTCTACCTCGCTTTCATCAGCGCGTAAAGAGCTAATGATAATGGCGCATACCGGCAGCCATAGGGGAGCGGTGCAAAACTTCCGCAGTACTCCTGAGGTTACTTTGTTCATATGCCTCATCCATCTTTGGTCAAGAACAATATCGCAGAATCTATCTGTACCTGACTTGTACAGAGAGAATCTTTCGGTCATGGTATGTGCACCTTTTACCTCAGCCAGAGAACTACACCCTAACAAGACATAGCAATACAAAGCTAACCGGCGGCCGTCGAAGCTTGCCCTTCGAGAACTGTACCTCTTGGAAGAGGAATTTGAGATGGTAGCCTCCATATGTGCTCAACAACGCCGCATGATCAGTGATTGCTACGAGGTCATCTATCCCTGGAGCTATCGCATCGCGACCAAAGAGTGCTATAGAGCCTACAAAGACATCGCATTTCCCCTCATCACACACATATTTGATGATCCTGTTGGCATGGGAGCAACCCTTACAGGAATAAAACAGATACGGGCATCGTTCGATAAGACCAAAGAGGTGCTCCGCCACAACGTTGAAGTCTCAGAAGAAAGCAACTCGAAAGCCATCAGAGTTTTTACTCTAGTGACAATCGTGTTTCTTCCACTTTCTTTCATCTCTTCCGTATTTGGCATGAACACTACGGATATAAGAGACATGAGCAGCTCGCAAGCTCTCTTTTGGGTCATTGCCATTCCTGCCACAACGCTGATTGGAGGACTCTCTTTGATGATCGCATATCATGGAACGTACATGTGGGCTAAGGTACGCGCGATGGGCGATGCTGCGTGGGGATCAGAGAAGATATCGCGCGGGCGGCGTGCCTGGAAACGAAAGCCAAAAGACGTGGAAAAGGTAGACGATGGCGAGATTGAAGATACACGGCCTCTGGGACCAGGTCATCTCCGGAGAAGGAAGACAGTCTTGAACGTCGTTGGGTCGAAGAAGCCAAGGAAGTTCAGGTAAGTAGGGGTTTGACGGGGACAGTCCTACTAGAGCCCGTCCTTTCGGTAGCTGTCTCTTACTATCCATCATCATGACCGGCCAAATCAAGGCTCTGTGGGCATGTTTACAGTCTCGCTTTTATCCTGTCTTCATTCAAGACGTCCAACACCTGCTTCTCTGCTTCCCACGCACTTCCCCAGCCGCTTTGGTATCCATAGCCAGCATGCCCGTAGCTATGCACTACTTCAACTCCATCAATCTTCTCTCTCTCGACCCTTGGACCTCCAGTCCTCATAGGGCGCAGACCAACACCATGTCTAATGACACTCAGCTCGGTCACTTTTCCGGTCTTCGGTACGAGCGACGGACATAGGTCGATGGAGCGTTGCATGATGCGCTGTGCGAGGTTGGGGTCAGGCTGCGATTCCCAAGAGTGGTGTTGTAGACAGCCTCCGAGGATTGTTCCACCACCGACTGCGCGCTGCATAATATACGTAGCTTCTTCACTGCCATCGTCGGTTCCGCTTACTGTCACCATGACACCAGGCTCGTTCCGCACTAGGACAATTTGACCACGTCCAGGGTACACGTTACTGTCCATGACGCCTCCGAGTGTGGCTGCTAGAAGACCAGTACAGTTCACGACGGTATTTGCATGCCCCGAGGTATGGAAGCTGCCTGCTTCGGAGATGTGGGAGAGTATACCACGCTTGATGGTCACACCGGCCTTCACGCACTGTCCCAAGATCCAGGGAAGATAGACAGCAGTGTTTATACATACTGAAGTAAACTCCGTGCCCCTGTCACAGCCTTCTGGGAGTTCTGATTTGGACAGTACGCGGAACTAAGAAGCATCAGCATGGCTTCACGCAAGCAACGTAGATAAATGTATGAAAACCGAGTTGGGGTAGGCACTACATACATTCGGCACAACGTCCTTGAACCATGCATCTTCTTTGGTCAGCTCTTCAAACCACTGCCCTGTAGCGGTGCCTGCATCTTTCTCTCGCCCATAGACCCTCGTCGCCTGGTAATGTATGCCCGCTTCCGGCAGTTCACGACAGATTCGGTCAAGCTCACACCAAGTAGCTTTCTCGAATTTCTGCAGATTGGAGCCTGGCTTGCCAACAGGAAAGTAGTTTGCTCCAGCCCAGGGTGATGCATATTCTATGTCGTAGTCGCCGGGCATGTGCTTGGCTACGACGGTAATGCTGAGGTCCTTGTGCTTGGAGAGCACGAGGGCTGTGGAGAGGCCGATGACGCCTGCTCTGGGGTGGTGTTAGTGCGGTCTTGAGGTTGCCGCCCAAGACGGATTAGACATGTTGTAGAGTCATAGGCGAGGATGAGTATTAATACCACGGGACGTGGAGGGGCAACACAAAATATCATGACAGCATTGATAGGCGAGCTTACCCGACAACGACGACATTCTTCTGGTTGGCCATGCTGGCAGCTCAGAGTCAGAGCGATGGCTGCCTTGACGCACCCGTGATGTGCCGTGGGGTGACTGAACAGGACTTCCAAGGTTGCTATCGCTGTGGATGCGGAGCCTGATGAGGATGGCGGGGTCATGCCTTGTATCCCCGGCTCGCCTATTGGCTCCTTCCCGCACACGAGACAAAACGCGTGCGCACATGCGAGCTTTGTTTACTGACCATACGGCCTGCTTGCTATTGTAAAGCTATTATAACGCTGGCCCCGGCCCTCTTCACTTTGGTGCTATTGTCCAGAATATTGAGCAAACTCGGTCCTCGCCCACTTGCACGCGCTTTTTGCCCTTCACCGCCGAGATATCGCGAAAAACAGTCGGGCCTGCCCCATCGGCTAGCTGGGGGAGCTCTGTGGTCCGTGACATCATTGCAGGCTCCGAGGTATGTAGGCCGAAGATTTTTCCGTACCATCTGGAGCTTTAGTTTCTGTCATTTGAAAAGTACAAGAAGGCGCTGTCCCGGTGTCTGGTTGGCTGACGTCTGATTGTACTTCTCCAGGCTCCTGAGCGCGAGCTGTCCTGACTCGGGGCGGAGATCGTTGTTCCTGCGACCCGCCAAGCTGAGCCATCCCTGTCGCCGTGTCCCTTCGAGAGCCTCAAGAGTTCGGGCGCGTCACAAAGATATTCATCATTCACGTTCACCGGCCACGACCTTCACCAACTTGGCGTGGCCGGCCCAGCCCTCTCTACAATAGCAACTGTCGCACCTAAGCTCAACCCTCATCCATGACCCCGTCACCCCACTCCTGTGCCTTCCTCTTTGCATTACACCGACTTCTCCTGTCCAACACGCACGCTTGATACACCACCGCCAATATGGCTACCCGAAGACAGCGGGCCAACTCGCCTGAATTTCCCATACTCGAGGCCAATGCCCTGTATGCCAGCCAGATCCGCGGCGATGGTGAGCTTAATTACCCCATATTCCCATGTTCAAGGCTGACTTCGCCCAAGGCAACTGCCTCTTCAACGCCCTGTCTGACCAGCTCTATGGCAACCAAGATATGCACGAGGTGCTGCGCACCACCACCATAGAGCACATGAAGGACAGCGCCGACTTCTACCGCCAGTACATGGCCTGCAACACGGTGCGACGGAACCCCAAGCGCAAGACTGCTGCAGCTGCCGCCAACCGCCTTGACACCACATGCTACACCGACGAGCAGCTGCAACAGCAGTTTGAAGAGCACGTCGAGAAGATGGGCCAGCCCGGCGAGTGGGCCGACAACATGGAAGTCTCAGCATTTGCCTCCGCCCTCAACGTCAACGTCCGCCTCTGGCAGGCTGACTACACCTACCTCTTCTCGCCCCGCACATGCTACACGTCGAATGAGGACTTGGCTGCTCAGGACAGCCGCCAGACACTTCACATTGCCTATCACGTAAGTCATGCCACCACTGACTACCCCGCTGGCACAGTGCTGACGTCCAAATTAGACTTGGGAGCATTACTCTTCCGTCCGCAATATCGCCGGACCTCACAGCGGCCCCCCTGACGTCAACATCGTACCCCAGGTCATCTCCAAGAAGCGGCCTAGCCCTAGTGTCGACGGTGACGACGATGACCAGCGTCGCCGCTCACGCAAGCGCCGCTCGCCTCTGCCGCTCTTCGACTCCGACTCTACACCAGAGGGCACTGAGAGCTCGTCAGATGAATCAAACGGATTCGCAGCGTCGCAGCGGTCCAACATTGAAATTCCTCAACCAGAGCCCGTGAAGGTCAAGCTCACCATCAAGCTCCGCGGTCTTCGCACCTCAGATACTTCCTCCCCTACTCCATCCTGCACGACTTCTCGCGCGCCTACGCCCGCACCACCTTCCACACAAACCCCATCAGAGCCCAAGAAGCCGGCTCCTGCAGCACCCAAGAGTGCTGCCGTGGCAGAGACCACACCCGCTGCTACCGCCTAGTAGGCTGACAGCATCATGGCCTTACGACGACGGACACCGATTCACGGTTCATATTGATGACGCTGACGATGATACCCCAGCATAACATTGGGCGCTTATTATTCCCGGGTTATTTTCCTTTTCCTTCTTTGCATAGCATACGAGCATTGGCAGGGGCTGTCTGTTACACATCGTTGCATATGCCAGCATGACTGACGGGTGCCAAAGTGCTTGGGCCGCGCTCTGTTCACTGGCTTTGGCGTTTGGGGGTTACGCTTGCGTTTCCACATGGATGATGATGGCTCATCTCTTGGGATATGACTGAACCTAGAAATGAGAAACCATTACTGCTGTTGACTTGTTGCTGCTTGATCTGTGTGTGTGATGTTCAGCATACGTGAAGTCATTGATGAGTACGTCTTGATCGTCATGAGCATTATGCATATCTACCGTCTATTCAAAGCCCTCGCCCTTGGCATCCACCTCGCCCTTCGGTCTCTCAAGCGCTGGACTTAGAGGCCCCGCCATATCAACAGGTGGCACCTGAACCCCAATTAAGCTCTTCCTATGCAACCGCGGGCTCTTATCCAACGTCTCAGCTTCCTCTTCCACCTCCGGACTCTGCCTACCGTCCTCATCGCCCTCTCCATGCTCGCTACCATAGCCCTGATTTGCCAGCCTCAAGCCCATGATCTGCTGTCTCAACTCATCCACAAATCGCTGCATGTCCTCGAATGGCAGTCTAACCGCTCCTCCATCAGCGTTCTCAGCTTGGGTGTTGTATAGCCTGAGCGCGGTGTCGAGGGCGCGTTCCGCTTGCTGCGACTTGTCCAGTCTGTACCAGTTCTCGCTGGCAAGCACAGCCCAAAGCGCTGCTTTCCGACGTCGGCTTCCTAGTTTGTACATGCCCACGCCAGTGCGCACAGCGTAGCAAGCTGAGATGCGTTCAGTGATGAGGGCGTGGCCTATCGAGCCTACAAGACCTGTTTCCAGAATGCGGGTTGCCCAGCGTGCGGCGTCGTCTGCGGCCGAGGAGCCACGGAGGCGCAGGAGCTCGAAGCTGAGGGCGAGGGTGCGGAGAGCATAGTACGGCGCTGCGCTGCGTTGGCGGTCGGTGTACGAGTACGATGCAGCTTCTATCCACGCATCGATGTTCTCAGCGCGGGACTTGGAGGATAGTGGTGTGGGTGCCATGAGAGCCGACAAAGCGGCCATTTCAGCAGCACCAGCGTAATGCCGCCATGCTTTGTCGTTTTGGAAGTCTGTCCTTAGGATATCATAAGTGCTCAATGCCAGTTTCCAATCGCGCAGCATAAAGCAGTAATCTGCTAGCCGTCGCATGATGGCTTCGGGGGCGTCGGGGCGGTAGAATCCCTGTAGGCTGTCGTAGTTGGAGTTTCCTGATGCAGTCGAGGATGATGAGGAGGTTCTTGAGCCGCCAAAGGGTGTCCAACGTTTTGATAGAGACATGAAGCGGCCGGACAGACCGCGGCGTCGGGACAGGATCTGCTCGTTCCAGGTCGAGACGCTGCGCTCCATGTTGGGTATAATGGATTGTGTGACTAGTTCACGGATGAAGGTACGCAAGCTGCTGATGTCGGAATCGGGGAAGTAGGGTGTTGGGTCTGTTATGTCGTCCGTGGTTTCTGTTTGGATAGTCAGTACGCAGGGTTGATATCAGGTTTACACTATCATGATTACCTCGCCTCTGAATCTCTGCTAGCTCTTCTCCTGCAGACATCCATTCGCACGTCGGTAAACGCACGCTGTCATCGTCTGAAGCTATGCATTGCTGACTCTTCAGTCGCAGTAGGTGGCAGTGCAGGCCAAAATGACGTTTCATCGAGTCGAATGTCTGGTTGGACTTGGCGATGTCTCCTGTCTCCTCATCGTGTATCAAGACGTAATATCGTAAGAAGTCGTTCTCTACCCATTGCGGGAAACGAAGATCGCCATCATGCTGCCGATTGTAGAGCCTCCTCAGCTCTTCTATAGGGTGTGGATTCCGTGATGAGATGGCTATTATGCCAGCCACTGGGTGGGAGAAGGTTTCGTGAGGCACTACTGGCAGTCCCGATAGTAGCCTCCGTAGATATAGAGTATGGAAGGGTGAAGCGGTACCGTCTGACTGCGTGGCTGTTGCGTCGCCCTTGCTCATGTAGTCGGACACGGGGGATTGTTTGTTGAACTCCGAGTACTGCAGATGTCGGTCGACTAGCTCTTCAATTTGTGACACATCGCCTCCTGACCGTCGCGGTCGCCGTGTGGAGCTCGAAGATGTCCGTTGGCCACCTGTGTCCACGCGCAAGTCTGGATATGCATCGTCTACGCCTATGAAGCGCACACCAAAGTCCTCCCAGCTCTTGCTTGCCCCATTGCTATCTCGTATCGTGACCTTTCCGGGCACTGCCTCTCCGAATGGCCGCAGAAGTTGTAGTAGGCCGCCCTCCAATCCCTTGCCCCGAATCAGTTCTTCCGTCTCCGCGTCCGCAAGCACAGCGACGCATGGCACAAACGCCCGTTGTATAAGCGCGCGGTACTCGTCCGACACTCCCGGTGGTAGGCTGTTCGGCGTCCCTGTCCCACTCAGTCTTGAGCCCGGCGAGAAGACGGAGCCCTGTACGGTGCTTTGGGTGGGGGTTGCGGCGCCGGAGTTGGGGCGCGACGTGGATATGCTCGTGGTGGACTCGAAAAGCTTGGAGAGGCTCGGGTTGGAGCGGCGGTAGGGGAGGCTGGCGAGAGAGGAAGCCGGGGATGCGCGCTGTTTGGGTAGTATCATCGACGCCTCCACATCGGCTGGGTACTTTGGGGGTTTCGGCGTGGCATCCTGAGGCGGCGTCATGAGAGGCTAGGGCGCTGCGCCCGCGGGGTTCTGGATGCGCGCGGAAGTTCTGAGGCAGTCGGCATGTATTCTGATTGTCGTGTGCTGGACTTGGCGGCAGTGAAGCGCTCCTTTACTCAGCCGCCCGTTTGTAGCTGCGCGAGTGTGACGACGTTGGGTGGTGCATCATCGCGGTTGCGGCCGCTGCGCTTTGTGACTGGACGAAATGCGGCATCTCCATCAGCACACAGCCCTTCCCTATCGTCGCACATGGGTCTGCAAACATAGCACACGACGCACATCCCACCTTCTTGTCAGTCCTTACGGCGCTTAGCGAGCTAGAAATCATCGCAGCAATCCTTCCGACTCATATGGATGTCGTTGATGAGTCGAGCCTTCCTCTGTTCAACGCGGACAATTTCACTACTATACAAACGTGACTTCCCTGCACCCACACTTCGGCCACTATCACGATCGCTGCTGCTTTCCAGAACCTTCTCTGCTCTCACTCTACAGCCAACTCGTATGTCCCGGACCAGCTCACCATCCGAAGACCAACAACCAAACGCTAAACGGCGCAAAATTGGCCGGCCCTCACCCAAATTCATTCACCCCTACGGCACTATGGCGTCGACGGACAATGTCGAATCAGCCCAGTTGGAACTCACTGAGGTCGAATCGAAGCTCAGACAGCTTCTACTGGACGTGGCTGCTTACATAGACGAAGCACCCTCAGGCAGCGATGTCACTGGTGAGCAGGTTCCAGAAGAGCTAGCGAAGGAAAAGATTGTATTGCGTTGGACTGGCGGATGGGTGCGCGACAAGCTCCTCAAAATTGGCAGTCATGATATCGACGTTGCCATCAACAAGATGACTGGTGAGCATTTCGGCCTAAAGATGCAAGAGTATCTCGAGATACCAGGCAATGCTGAAAAGCACGGTCTGATCGACAAAAACGACGCCCTCAGTGGACGCGACAAGACGAAGAAGATTGCACCGGGGCTGCACAAGATTCAGGCAAACCCTGAAAAGTCAAAGAACCTCGAGACCGCAACCACCAAGATCATGGGCATCGACTTGGACCTCGTCAATCTGAGGAAAGAGACATATAACGAAGTTTCTCGTAACCCAGAGATGGAATTTGGTACAGCGGAAGAGGATGCTATGCGGCGCGACGCTACCGTCAACGCTATGTTCTACAATCTCCACACTTGTCAGGTCGAAGACTTTACTGGACAGGGACACAAAGACATGGCTTCCAAGATCATCCGTACTCCACTAGAGCCTTACCAGACCTTCAAGGATGATCCGCTCCGGGTACTGCGGCTGATCCGCTTTGCTAGCCGCCTCGATTACACGATCGAGCCGGAGACAGCAAAGGCAATGGGCAACGCAGAGATACAAGACGTCTTGAAGATCAAAATCAGTCGTGAAAGAGTCGGAATAGAACTCGAGAAGATGTTGAAGGGTCCCAGACCACGTATGGCTCTAGAGCTGATCGACCAGTTCGGCCTTTACAGGACAGTCTTCACAGATCCTACCCGCGAGCTATCTGAACCGGACACAGCCTACTTCAAGCCAGCATACAACTTTGTTGAGACCATCATCCAGAAGAACGCCGATGTACCAGCTGCTATCCCCGATACCCTGCTGAGAAACGAGGACGAGAGGTATCTAGCTTGGGTTTGCGCAACCATGATGCCTTGGATGGATGCACCCACAATACCTCATCAGAAGCCACTACAGCGAGCTTACTTCGCTGCTTATCTAGTAGCTCGCGAAGGGTTCAAGGCCCCAAATAAGATCTGCGACGTCATTGCGTCTGCTTTGAGCAACAGCGAGGAAATCCGCAACGTCGTCACTCGGTGCGCCAAGGGACTTCGGAGACCGGATACCATCAACCCGACAGATGATGCCACTGCCAGGGATACTTTGGGCATGGCTATCCGTCGTTGGAGCTCGAGCTGGAGGACGCAAGTCTTTATGAACCTCGTCTACGAGATTGTGCTTGGGCGGGTGTCAAAAGACGGTCAGTGTTGCCAATTTGCTTACTTGGACATTGCTAATTATTTTCAGAAATTCTTCGATCATATGACAGCTTCCTTGCCCGGGTTACCGAGCTCAAGATTCTTGATGTCGACACGTTCAGACCTCTTCTCAAAGGTACAGACCTTGCCAAGGCACTTGGTACCAAGCCTGGCCCTTGGATGAAGGACGCCCTCGATGTCGTTATGGCCTGGCAGCTACGTAATCCCGACACAACTGATCCCACCGCTGCCATTGAGGCCGTAAAGGCTTCTAAGGACGGACAAACTGATAGTGAGCTTTCCCTTCGCCTGGCACATCACTTTCTTCAGCTTACCATCCCACCTCTCTTTCCGCAGAATAAGCCCACGTCGAATGCGCTGGAAGCTTCGCGGCAACCGGCCCCTTGGAAAGACACTGGGAATCAGTATGCCTTGGACCTGCTGGAATGGGCGATCAGCACACTCGACCGGAAAACGATAGAAGGGAAATGGCATTTGCTGATGCCTCCAATACTGAAGATGATGGACGACATTGATATGAAATGGAAAGCGAGAGGATGCCACATGCTCGGTCTGTTACTCGAGAATCTGCACCAGAAGATCGGGATAGACGCTGGGAAGAAGTCATCGATAGCCGTGCAGAGTTCCACAAGCTTCCTGCAACGCACTGGGTATCACAACATCTTTACTGAGGCTCTGTTCCCCATGTTTACCTACATCCCTTCCATCACACCGGAAAACGAATCTGTCACCCTTTTCAGAGAAGTGTTCCCTACTATCATCTCACTCGCCCAGCTCCTCCCGACAGACCCCAGCAAAGGCCTTTCCCGAGAACGCTTCTTGGACAAAATTTTGCGTGAAGGGGTCCTCTCTCCTCTTGCACATTTCCCTACACCCTCGTCGTACCCAGAATTGGCCACCTTGATCATGTCACACATTCCTGTATTGTTAGGCCACATGGGCATTGATTGCGTCAAGCACCTTCGCGACCTTGTGCCTCTGATCTCAGCTATACTGCAGGAGCCGTTCGCACTTAGTCACAAGCCCCTTCTTCTTTCAGCACTGAAAGCGCTGCAAAGCGTGTTGCTCAATGCGTGGCCTAGGCTACCGGGGTACAGGGGAGCAATCATGATGGGCATATGTTTGCTGTGGGCTCGGTGTGTAGAAGAGCGAAAGAAGGCCGGTAGTCAGGACATCGAGGAAATAACACGCCAGACACAGGAATCGGTCGCTATGCTGGACGCGATTATGCAGGCTACCGAGACGGACGGACTAGCGAAAGTCTGGGAGCAGGAAAAGCAGGATCTGATGCAGGCCTCATCCGGAGTTGAGGAATTATTTGACGAGTGTGTGACCGGACAAGAGTAAGCACACGTTCTCTGCGTGTCAATGAGTAGTACTTTAGCAGCCAGAAGAAGCTGCATTCATTCCATCTTTTTACGTTGTGATGTGCAGTATGTTGGGCAGTAACAAAATCATACAAAGCTAGCGCGTTGGAACCAGCAAAGCAGGATGGCTGTTTTGTGATGATCGAGTTCTTCACATCCTTGCACAGCGTGGTTGCTGCACAGTGACGACAGGCACGTGGGTACCGCCTGCAGCGATTGATTCAGATGGCCCACATGCAGGCTAACGGTTATAGCCATGCATCGAGTGTCAGAAACAGGAAGCTGTTCTATCCTCGGAAGACGATGCCGCACACGTCGAGCGTATGAGTGGGCATTCGCGAATAGTTGCATCAGGCGACAACGTCAAGTCTGCCTGCGTTGCCGTGGGGTCCGTGGCTATGCGGGGCGACAGCTTGGCGTGTAATCGGTGTTTACACAGCCCAGATGTCAGGTCAGATACGAACTCGGGTCCTGACTGCTGCAACAATGCTGTGTAGACATTGCAACCTTCCACATGCTACTCACGGGCAGAGGGCCGTTTGAGACTGCGCGCGGTGTTCTTGAAAGTGGTTCCTGGGCGCTGGCTACTGTACTCGAGTCAATAGCGGCCCGCACACCCCTGCCGGGGACGAGGATGCCATTGGACGCCTTTTTTCGACGAACGCGCGTCTCACGCTCAATAAGACGATGCTGGGGATATGTGATCTCAGTATGATGCCCGTGATGTAGAAGAGGTGTTTCTTGGCGGCATGGGTTTGGAGTGGGCCACTGTCGCATGCACATCAGAGAGTGTACTCCAAGTAAGCGCGACTGCGGTGCTGCTGCGCTGGATGATTATAGACGGAGGCGCATCCGTCTGACGGAGATATATGCTGGAGGCGTGGGTGAAACGCGGGGCCAATGAAGAAGGCGCAATCTGACTATTCTGGATCATTTCGCTAGTGCAGGTGGCGCTTCCCCGAAATCTGCCTGAGCGACTTCACGATGCTCGACGGCAAGTGACTACGTCGCCGAGAAGACGGGCGTAGATATGGATGCCTGAGTGGTTCGCGACAGCAGCGCACGAATGAAGACTCGCAAATACTAAACCCGACGCGTCTGGCGCATGCAGAGTCTCGACGTAAAGCCGATCGGCAGCGCTCAACAAGCGTGGGCGGGACTCAGCCTCGTTAAGGTGGTTGCTTAGGGCTAGGGGGCATGTCACGGCCACTTCTTCCCGCCGCGTCCATTGCACCTCGTCCTGCTCCGACACATGTCCTCTGCTCCGGGCCCGCCGTGACTCTCTCTACACTTCGTCGCGGCACATCTCCACGGCGACATTAGCAGCTCGAGGGGTGCGCGCCGCCCAGCAGCCACGCCTGTGCCGACACCTCTCCCAAGATCATGGCCAGAGCTTATTTCGCGTCCAATCCCTCCACATCCACCACGACGACCTGTCTCGCTAGCTCTGCCCAGACTTGCACTACGACCACCACCCTACCCTCTGCCGCGTCGCCGCCCCCGCCAACTCCCTACAACTTCGCGCGCCTCGTCGGCTCCTCCTCTTCGTACCCCAAGGCCGAGGACCACGGCGACTCCAGGTTCAAGAGGTTGCCAATGCCTCTCGAGCTCGCCATCTCGTCGCGGGCGCATTGGCTCAGTCGGGTGCGGTCATGTCTCCGCCTGCTCATCATCGTCCTGAGCGGCGCAGTCGTCTGCATGCTCATGCACACGTTTGAGATCTACCGCGGCAATCGCTACATCGACCTGCGCAAAGGAGAACTGCCCATGGTCTGGCCTGCCCATACCAACCTGGCCCCGACCATTATCCTCTTCGCCATTGCCGCCGGCAACTTCCTCGCCTCGGTCGCCATCCTCACCCTCTCCTTCAAGCGCTCCTTCCGCCGGCCCTTCCGCTCGCGCGACGTCTACCGCATCGTCGCTGGCAGCTTTGGCGTCATCATGTGGATCACAGCGCTGGTCGTCTTCAACCTCTTGGACAAGGCTAGCAAGGCAAGCTTGGGAAGATACTCGTGCACCAACGCGAATGTCTTGACCAACGGCCGCTACCAATACCGCGCCGTCTGTGAAGAGCAGGTAAGACAGCGCCCCTTCCGAGTCCAACTTCATGCCGCTAACAATTTCTCCAGGGTGTCGCATTCTACACCGCCATTGGCGCAGCCTCCGCAGAGCTTCTCACACTCATCACTCTCGCCATCTCCGCCATCCTGTCCGTCAAGAATCAGGAACCACCCCCGACCATACAGATTCGCGAGAAGAACAACTCGATAAGCTCCGGCTCAAAGTACCACAAGCCTTTAAAACGATAATGCCAAAAACACGCACAAATCAATTTTCCAAATCCACCAATTGTCCTGTTTTCGCTCTTTCCTTGACCTCTTATTTCCCTTTTCACGTCGCTGCATGATACCCCGGATTTTCTCGTTTAGCGGCAAACATACAACCAAAACTTTATACGGCGTTATAATCTCGGACCATACTTTGCTCGTTGCGCAGGGCTTCGGGCCATTATGACGACTTCATCTCCCATCGCTCAAATCATCTGCATGGTATCGCGACATTGCGGCACATTTGGCGTTTGTTTCATTTGCTCTTCCCTTGTATATCTGCATTTTCCAGCCTTGGTCAATACCATCATGAACGTGGTCTTTGTCCCGTCCCCCATCACCATTAGAAGAAACACGTTGAGCCCTCCTGTTTGCCCAATAGAGTAACGGTCGCATCTTGGTATTGTCACCCTAGGATCTTGTAATTGGAAGAGAAGATGGGTGGTTTTGCTTCGGAACAAGTAGATGATATAACAAATACAATAAAACAATCGAAAGAATAATAGAAGCGCGTGGTGTGTTGTTACATGTGTTTGTTTTGATTAAAACGCCGAACTATGTGCAAGGGCTCTGATGGGCAGTTAAAGTGCGTGCTATTGGCATCAGCTCTCACTATGACGTGAGCTCGGTTGCTACTACATTCACAGTATACTTTACTCTGAGATTAGGTTCTTTAATGACAAGGCTCTATGTCGCGCTTTGTGATTCAGTCTCGTTCTTGCCTGGGAAGCTCGTCAGATAAGAGGCCATTTGCTAACAATTTAGAGCATGTCCTGATATGAAGTCGGACTCCCATCTCACTTTTTACGACTTCTAATTGCGAGAGCCCTTCGACTGGACACGCTTCCGCTTTCGCATCATGCGCTTTGCCATCGGGTTGAAGTCCGAGGTGAAGGTGACTCCCCACTGCATCTGGCGCCGCGCGCTCTCACCTACTGCTGTCTGCCTCAACCCCACAAACAAACGCCTGCGTTGGCAGTATTGCTCTGCCTTCAGAAGCTCTCTACCTATCCCATCCCTGCCTATTTAAACCGCAACATTGAGGAATTTCCGAATGAGCAAAAAATGGCATTCCGACGGGCTTGTGAGGGCGATGGCAAAGACTCACTCCTCCAGATGCTTGTCCCAGTTTTCTCGCCTCTGTGAAGTAGCTGATCATGCCGCGGGCGCATGCTTCCAGCAGATACCTCTCGTACCTAGGTTTACTTTTGCCCTTTTCTCTGGCTTGAGTTTGGTGCTGGTTCGAGACTGGTTGCGGCCCTTATTTCTATTTGCCCTTTTGTCTTCGGCGGGTATGACCTTTTCTTTTCGCTTTATTGCCGCTCAAGAGCTGCGTTGGAGTTGAATTTATAGCCCAAGTGTTGATAGCGAATAGGTAGTCGTTTTGGAGGTAGACAGTTGCAGAGCGCGCGTTTCTGGGTGGATGTTTGCCGGTGGCAGTTTCCAGTGGGTGAGAAAGATTAGAAGTCGACGCGGTCGATTGACATGTATTAGTAGTAGTCTGGCTTGACTGAAGCTATTAAATCTATGCGTTGTCATACCAGCGTCTTGAAGAATCTTGTGTAGGTCTGTATAGAGAGCAGCCTGTAACATGTCCCTTACCGTGGCCACAAAGAGAGGTCATATTCGCCTCGCTCTAGGCTCTGAGACATCCGGAGAACGTCACAGACTCGTCCTGGCGGTGTTTTAAGACGCCAAATAGCCAAGATACACGGGCGGATACGTGTATCGAATGCTGGCCGATGTTGCAGTGTTGCAAGGAGACAAAGGCGAGGTGCTGGAAATGTGGGAGATGTGGATTGCGGAGTGATGACTGACGTTGGCCGATTGGAAGCGCGCATTGACCCCGGCTAGCGCGTTAATCCCTGCATGCTCCCGCTGAGAACTTCCAGAACTTTTTTGAGGTCGAACACATGCGACCGTGTTTGCGACAGGATATGAGACATGGGCAAACGGTCGGCTTTCGAGGCCAATACCAAGAGTGCACACTCTGACCGCGACTCGAAGCGTCAGCGATTCGACGACACCCACGAGCGCAACTCACCACGACCGAATGGCGCCGCCGAGGACATCACGTCTGGGCGCGACTTACAGAATGCGCTGTACTTCGACCAGAGCTCCTCAGCCGGCTTTCGAAGTGGTAGGTGCAACCAGATGCTATGTATGATCAACGGCTGACATGATTAGGCCTAAGTACTTTCAAGCGATTCCTCGATTCGATCCTCTACCCGACCGATGAGCACGACGTGCCCCGCAAGCGAGCCATTCTCCGTGAATACCTAGACACACAGAAAGGAAGAGGCCAAGATGAGAAGGAAAAGACGTTCCTGCAGAACCTGATTCACGGGTGGGACCACGCTGTCGAAACCAACTACAGTGCCGTCGTCTCCCAGGTAACAGCTGTGCTCGCGCTCCTGTTTAAGGTTTATGCGACCCATGGCGATTTCCTCGAGTACGGCACTCTGCTGGCCAAGACTCTGCTACAGCCATCGGTCGCTCGTCGTTTCGTCCGAAGTACCTCAGCGGCACCCAAGGAGGAGAGCGTCATCGCGCCGGCATTGCGACTGCTCACAGAGCTTACTCGGTTCAATGAAGGTGCGCATGCGAGGGCCGTATACGCCAAGAGAGACTTTACGCTCGAGCCGAAGATACT